TATCGTATCTGCCCTCATTAACCTGAATTTCTAGTTCACCCTGTTTGCTGTTCATACTTTGTGCATTGGTGTATAAACATTTGAGTCCTTTGTGGGTGGCCCTGTGTTTCCTTTCTACATAACCTGTGTGGTGCCTGAGTTCCCCTATTGTCTTACCACCTATTTGGTTAGTGCACTTTATATGGCACTCGCTATTAGAGGCTTCATTTTGATTGGTAGCAAGGTTGGTATTCTTGTCCACACACACATCTGTGCTACATGCACTGATAGCCCTATAGTTTTTAAATTGCCGGGGACAGGGTTGTTCCGTATCAATTAACTCCCTGTCCCCGCTGTTTAGTTTAAATTTCCCTCCAGAAAATCTGTGAATTTATAGCCGAGTAACTCAGTCCCTTTTTTTGATGGATGCAAACCATCTCTTTTGTACATCTTTTGATTGGACCAGCTACTGACATCGTGACTAATATATCCAAAGCCTTCCCCTTTACACCATTCCTTTAGCCACATATTGAATTGTGCTATGCGCTGGCCTTTTCCGTTTTGCTCCTTATACACTGGTAAAACCTCTGAGAAAGTAAGCCTACAGCCTATTCTGCTAAGTTCCTTCCCCAAGCTCTGGAAATCATTCTGCACAGAGAGTACATCTTTTTGGGACAGATCATTAGTGCCAAGATGTACAATAGCCTCCACATCACAGTCCTTGCTGCCATTCTTGATTATTTTAGAAATACGCTTCTTGTCCCTACTGGCAGTAGCACCTGGAAGACACCTGACCTCTTTCAAAGCCTCTGTGTCCTTTCCTAAATTTACATCCCTTATAATTGAATCACCTACCAGAAGGTAGCTTCTCTTTTTGGGAGCCTTTCTATTCTTGCATGACTGATGTGCAATACCTGATTCACACTTCTCCCTATCAAAATCTAGTTCTTCATCTCGGACCACAATCCCCTGCTTATTTGAGTTATCTTCACAAATACCTTTACCAGTCTCCTTAATGTCCCTATTAAGGTCAGCAAGAGCACTGTAGCTGTTGTGCAGGGACACAGCGAAAGCTTTGTGTTTATGGTTCACAGCTCTCACCCTGCCAGATCCCACGGTTGTCCACACTGCCCTTTTCCTGCAGGATCTTTGTGGTAAAGGGGGCTGATAGCAGGGAGGCTTACTAGAGTAGAGGGGCTACTCTACTTATCAAGCAGTAAAAAGTAATGGTGGGAGAGTTGTACATTTGGACTTGCAAGGTTCTGTTAACATAGCTGTCAATGCTGCAACAAATTGAACTGAAGCCATTTTTACTTTGTTTTCAGTTGCCACATATTTAGTAAGGGAGGAGTGGGGGAAGTGTAGTTTTAAGATAGCCATAACAATTCTTAGGTGTGGGAACCAAGGTCATTGCTGATTACCGTTTTGGTGGGCTGCATTTAATAGCAATTGGTGAATGTGATTTATGACATTTAATCAGGGTGGGAATTACAACTTTGCAACTTTGTAACCAGGGGCAGAGGAATTTAGTCTTGGGTTCAACTTTGTACGTGCCATTATTTTGTAGCCAAATAAAAATGTTCTTTAAGGAAGAAATCCTTGCCTTGAAGTTCTTTTAGTTGGTCTCATCTATCGGAACCATGACAGTAGCTTTACAATAAAATAGAGTTAGCTCATCTTGACATGTTTCCTCTCTGGTCTGTTTGGTTTGCTGACACTGTCTTAAATTATTCTTGGAAATGAAGTTTCCAGACTGATATTAGTACTTGTTATTTCAGCTGATAAAAATGAAAGTTGATTTGATAAGTATATTTTGGAGAAAATCACCCTTGAACTATTATATATTTTCTCTAAAGTGAAGGCCAATCTACTAGCATAGATAAATGGAGCTGAGATCATATAGTCTCCACCATGTTGTAAATTGCTGCATCATAATAAATTTGTTTTATCCTCATGACCAAGAAATTTTATAATTTTGTTGGAGAGGGAGTGGTCAAGCCAGGGGGAGGGGTCAAGTGAGGATTTAGTCTGGAATCTTTATGTAGGCACAAGAGGACAAGTTTTAACCCTGCTTGAATGCCATTGAACCTTATCTAGAATGGCTCAGGTGCAAACTGCCAGTCTGGGAAGATTGCTGTGAAATAGGTATAAAATAATAAAGTTGCTAATTTGAACTTTCACACGTGGATCTGGTTGTTCACCTCTGACAAATGTTCTGCTATTTAGTGGGCTGACAATCTTTGAAAAGGCATCCAGTAAGAACTTTAGAGAGCCAGTTTGGTGTAGGCTTAAGGCACCAGGCTAGAAACCTCGAGACTGTAAGTTGTACTGCTGCCTTAGGCACAAAGCCAGCTGGGTGATCTTGGGCTAGTTTTTTTTTCCTAGCCCTTGGAAGGAAGCCGAAGGAACCACTTTTGAAAAACATTGCCAAGAAAACTGCAGGGACTTTTTCAAGCAGTCTCTGAGAATCCAACATGATTGAATGAGAAGAAAAGAAACCTTAACTCGTGTTTAATTTAATCATTTAAATTAGTTGATTTCAGTAATTGGGAGTTGATAAAAGCTTTTTTTCTCACCTAGAAAGAAGTACTCTTCTGTGATTATATCTTTTAGGATATCTATATGCACCATTTAAGGGAAAATCTAAGATTTGCTTCAGAAGTTTTATCCTTATCCATCTGCAAATTTAATTCAATGATCAATTAAACTATAATTAATTTACTAAGGCACCAGAACTACTAGGAAATCTTACTGGCAGATTGATGTTTCATTAAGCAAACTAAATCTCTTTACAGGAATAGTTATATGAATAAAATAAATACATATTATCAGCTGGTGATTCACACATGGAAGGTGTGAGAGGGCTGGTATTTAAATGTGATCATTCTATTTTTTTAATGATCATTTTTTAAAATCATTTTAAAATCATTTTTTTAGATCTCAAAATGATTGAAAATGATTGAAATCTGTGCTATCTGTTTTCAACATTTATGATTAAAGAGAGTTCTAAGGACTATCAAAAAGGAAATTTAAGAATCATATGCCTGTCCCTGTCCCTGAGAGAAACTTTGTTGGTAGTCTTATACCTTACTTATATAAATGCATATGAATTAAGAATGTTTTAAAAAATAATATGTTTATCAGGACAACTCAGCTTCCAAAGAATTGTTGCAAATGTTGCAGTTTGAAAAACTTTAATCAGGAAACTGGGTTAGTGGGAAAAACAGTGGGAAAAGGTTACAGATGGAGCACTTTGGACAAGGACATTGAATATTATCAGATTCTAATGAATATATTGCTTCAAAGGCTCTTCCAACTCTTGTTGAATGAAGAAACAAAGCTTACAGAAATTTTGTAAAATCTCAATACTATAGGCCTAAGTCAGTGGTGGTGAACCTATGGCACGTGTGCCAGAGGCGGCACTCGGAGCCCTCTCTGTGGGCACATGTGCCGTTGCACAAGCCTTCTCTCCCCCCACGACCCCCTCCTTATCAACAGCCCCCCAGGAGGAGAGTTGTCCCCGAGCGTGGCCCACGTGGAGCAGCACAGCCAAGGACATGGCAGCCGGGCAGCGTAGACAAGACTCTGCCCTCATGCCTCATCGCGCACAGTTGATGCTGCGGCAGAGGGCGTGGCCGTCATGGTGCTGCTGGGCTGCCTGGGCGATCTGTGGTGGGCTCTGGAGGCAGTGAGTGGCCCTCCAGGTAGGCAGGGTGGGGGTGGGGCAGGGTGTGAAGCAGGGGCGAGGCCAGTTTTTGGGCACTCAGTCTCTAAAAGGTTCGCCATCACTGGCCTAAGAAATACATTGCCTCTATGTATTTTGGATGTATTTGCTCCACTGTATTTTAATATGATGTTATTGCTTTATTGTAATTAGATTATTTTAGCTCAGTCAGAATTGGATTTGAAAGAAAAAAAGAAAAGAAGCTTCCTTTAGATACCAAAATTAAATATTAATTTAATATTTAAAATGTTAAGTTACTTCAACCCTTTTGTCCCAATGAATGTACTGAATATAGTGCCAAGAATCTCTGTACATTTTCTTGGCTTTCCCCACTAGTTACAAGCAGGCCAGTTCTTCATTTGTTGACATGTAACACAGCCCACAACTTTCAGCTTAAGTTCCATGTAGATGAATTGAAAGATCAACACCTTATCTCTACAGTTATAGAGAAGCTGTCCAGTTCAATTCCATACTAGTTTATTTTACAGGAAATTGCTTTTCATTGGATTCTGACCTCAAGACACTGTATGGCAGTGCTGCTTTTCCCCCTTTAAATTGTCATGCTCATGAAAATAGGAGGGAAAATTTAAAGGGGAACAAAAGAAATCATTTCAGAAGTATATGTGGAGTTCCTTTCCCAAATTTTTTTTTTGGGGGGGGGGAAGGAAGAAGAATCTGCCTATTAAGTCTAAATTCCATAGCTTTGTCTGATGTTCAATTTCTAAAGATAGTAACATATGGATAATTCATTGGTCCTATATGTCCATGCATTTTTAAAAATAACTTCAATTAAACTGAAGAATCTACCCTTGCAAAGTAAGATGATATCATCTTCCCCTTGTGTATTGTTTTGCAGAAACTATTTTGCCCTCTGCAAAAGGAGATAAAAAAACCATGCATGGCACTTTGTTTTTTTTGCACTTTGCATGGAATAAAAGATCCAAGACATGCAGAAAGAAATCTTTGGCATGGCTTTTCATTTACTAAATCCTTGGCTTGAATTTTGTTACGATTATACTTGTATACATGGTAATGGAATTAAATCCTACTGAATTCAGCAAGGCTTCTGACTTAACACTAATAAGACTAGGTTGAAAATAATGCCTATTTTCAACAAGAAGATATCCATTTGCCCACAGCTTCATTTGACAGTGCAATCCTTAGAAGGTTTACTTGGAAATAAGCAATGCTGAATTTAATGGGAGAAACTTACAGATGCATGCATACCGGATGGCATTCTTAGCTAAGTCTATTTTATATCAAATAAGAAACCCTTTTGGAAATTCATAATATTAACCTGTTTCTCAGGGTTGTAAGTGTCAGTAGTTGGAAGGGCATAATGATGGCATACAGAGCCTGACAGGTTGTCCATCAGCTTCAACTCTCCTTCCAGAGATTCTTGGATCAGCAGTGATATGGTATCAAACAAGTGTCTTTCCTGGGAGGAAGGCCAAATAGCATGCAGAAAAATAGGCCAGGCCAAAGAGAGAGAAATGGAAGGGGGAGAGAAAAGGAGGGATGGGGAAGGATAGAGAGAGTGAGAGTGAGAGAGAGAGAGAGAGAGAGAGAGAGAGAGAGAGAGAGAGAGAAAGAACATGTAGAAGACAGAAGAAGGAAGAAAAGAGAGACAGAAAAAAAAATGTTTTCAGACATAACAGTCATTGTTGAAATGGCCAGGAAGAAAAGACAGGGACAGAGAAGGGAAAAACAAGAGTGCAGTAATACCATAGTCAGAACTTTTCTAAGACATTGCTACACACAAGACTGAAACTAAACGCATGGTAAAGGCAGTGGGACACATTACATTCATCCAGAGCAGCAAACTGGCAGCTATTTACTAATTGGCAGAAGTACAGCTTTTTTTGCAGGGCTATCATACCAACATGACAAGGAACAAGTTCAGCAGAAATAAACAACAAATGTGCACAATTTCAAATGGAGGTGAGAATGGAAGCCAGCATGAAGCATTGGCATCACGCAATAGCATCACCGTAACCACTTGAGAATAACATGTTTTCAGAGGTGCTGGTGGCTTGCCATATCTGTGAATTAAGTGCTCTCAATCTCTAAAAATCAGACCCTTGATCTAGCCTCCGAAGAATGAATGCAAGGCAAACAGGAAGAGACTGAACGAACACTGGTTTTCCACAACCACTATCTGCTGGTGCAGGCATATAAATGCTTCCTCTCAGTTCTTGGAAAATAAATACTATAACTCAGTTGTTGCAGCAGTGAGTTATTCTTGCCTATGTCCTGCTTGAGCCAGGAATAATTTTCTTGAAATACTGGCAAATAAATCTCATATACGGCTGGTGAAATCCTGCTCTTAATCCCATTCCCAGATGTAGATACAGGCAGAACTTACCTGAGTCTGGCTGACATTTGAGTAATGCAGAATGCAAAAAGAAACACCAACTTGGTTTCAAAATCTAAATCACAGCGATATTTTCTGGTCTGGTAGTTACAAGTGAAGGGTGATTTACAAGAACTCCGTATAGGCTTTTCTTTTCACCTCATCTGGTACGATAATTCCAAAGCATTTGGAGTTCAACATTAGACTAGGAATTGCGGCCATGGGAGGAATTTTCAAATAAAAGACCTAAAAGGTCACTGGTAACAGGACTTCCTGCTCAAAATGCAGCCAAATGAATCACCTTTGTGTAGGAAACTATTGTGTGGGGATGCTGAGAAAAACAAGGGATTGGGGAGTTTATATGGCTGTAGTCCAGAAGAGGTGGGAGGGAATTCTAGAAAGAGAAAATACAAATGTGGCTACATATGAACATGGGGAATATTAGTGTTAGTTGTCAGAACTACATTGGAAGTATTGTGATATATCTTAGTGCAGGGGTCTTCAAACTTGGCCCTTTTATGTCTTGTGGACTTCAATTTCCAGAATTCCTCAGCCAGCATGCCTGGCTGAGGAATTCTGGGAGTTGAAGTCCACAAGTCATAAAAGGGCCATGTTTGAAGACCCCTGCCTTAGTGGGAAGAGTCCTATTTACTTCAGTCACATAATATACAGAGAGGGTTCATGAGAGCTTCAGTTTGGCTACCTGTGGAAGCTTGGAATAAGGACTATTACATACAGTAATGTTTTAGAATTGTTTTGTAGAAGTGGATATACAGTACTATCTGAACTCAGCCTTAAGATTATCTTCATGAGTCTCATAATTAAGATGGTATAAGAACAATGGCTGCACTTTGAATGGCCTCAAGGTAATTCCTGCCACAAAGCACATGCTATAGTCCAAACTCAAAGTCTCTCCAGCTTTATGTTGCAATCTAGTCAGCTGTCAAAATCAACTAGTCTAATCCATTTGAAATCCAAATGCTCTGGTTTAAATTATATACACAGCATCACTGAGTTCCCTTTGACTTTTCATGATAATCTGAGGTTACAGAAATAATTAAGAGTTGTCATCCTATACATGCTTGCTCTAAATCCAGAGAAATTTATTTTCTAATAGTTGAGGACTGAACCTTAAAATATTGTGCCTGGATTGTGCACAGGATTCTGAAAGCCAAAGAATCTTTGAAAAAAAAATGATTCTTAATTTCCATTTGTCAGGCTCCCAATTTCAGAAACCTCTGAGATATTGAGATAAATATACACTGTAAAGCTTCTGAAGTAACAAGAGGAGTAATAACTTAGCAGCAGTACTACTTTCTATGCAGGAAACAGCCAATGTGTATGATGCCATGAGTTCCCACAGTTATAACCTAATACAACAATGCATATATTTTATGGAACATGCAAGCAAGGAAGCATGCTGATCATATGACTCTGCAGGATTATAATATAGGAACTGTATTCCTCTTTCATCAGCCATTTCATGGAATGCAGAGATTTTAATTAAAGGGACATTGGCAAGGAGAAAGAGTACTTCCATTAGCTATCAAAATGACACTCAAGAGTTTTAATATATAATTGGCAAAGTAATATGGGCAAATGTTATTTTCAGAAGTATTGTTTTTAAATCAAGAAACACCTTTTCTTCTGTGATAGGCTTTTATCAGAAAAAAGAATTGGCAGTTTTAGAGAATTTTGAGAACTTTTAACCTTCTAGTTTTGATCAGACACAGTTAACAACCTATTTGAGTAATGAACAAAAATATCACAGCAGTTTGTAATGGGCAATATTTCTGCAGGTAATGAACTTATGATCAATTAATGATGAGGAAAGGCAATTTCCAGATATGAAATAGGAGGTTTCCCCCATTCTACTGATCTGGAGGTTTCCAGTCTTGACTGTTGATGCTACACTCATGTGAACAGTGGCTGGAAATTTTAAATAATGAAACTGAATATTGCTCTGTAATGGTAAAAAGCAGACACATACGTGAATAATTAAACTGCATGCCAGACATGCAGATGTGATAATGAACAGGCACTCATCTATACAGGTGCCCTACATCTCAGATACTACCTGTAGGCACAATTCCATTGAGCAGCCTTTAAACTGCAAAGGAGTATTTGAGAAAAACCTTAGTGGCCTCTTCTCTAGCACTGCCAGTAATGAAAGCTTGTCTGAGGTCTCAGGGCCTGTGTTATAAATGAGCTGGTCAAGGGGCTGCAGAACATTCTTTGCAACCGATTACTAACTTTGCATGGACATCTAATATTTGGCCTGCTTTTGTTGCCTAAGGCTTTTTTGGGGGAATTTTGCATAGAAAAAGGAATACAACTCTCCGATAAATCACTGGAACCACTCAAACTTAGATATGAGTGCATACAGTATGTTGCTGGAGACAAGTGAAGGTAACTCCCCACTTCACCCACCACCTGAGGTTCTCACCATAGGATGAATCATGGATAGCTGAGAATTCATTTTGATTTGCATGGGGTTGGTGTATCCTCCAGGACTCTCAGGCCGTTCTCCTGTGTTACCGCTTGTCCACATGAAAGAATCAGAAGGTGGGTGCCCACCCGGTGTGATTGTCTTCATTTCCATTTCCAACTCCAGCTCCAGTTCTGCTTCTTCTTTAGCTTCCTTGTTACTCTCCTCCAGGTGCTTCATCAGGACAGCAATCACCACATTCACCAGGACAAACTGGGCTGTCAGCACAAAAGAGACGAAGTAGATAGGCGAGATGACGGTGTTGTAACAGGTAGATTCCTCATCGCAGTCCCGCAAAGTGTCCTGGGAGGGAACAGAGGGAAGTGAAGGGGAAATGGTTGTGGCTGAGAACTACTTGTTGGAATTGGCAGTTTATGTCACTCAGATTCTAACTTCAAGCCTATATGGTCCGACCCCATGTGGAAGATGGTGAATGAGTGTCCTCCAGGTTGATCAGTTTCTACAGAATTTTAGGAACTTGACCACTGAAAGATCCTTCTTCTGGGTCTACTAGAACAGGGCTTTTCAACCTTTTCACCCATTGTACCACTTTTAGGATATGGCAACATCCGAGTACCATCAGTCACTTAGCAAGGTGTCAAAAACTTGGAAAAAAGTGATGAAGTACAGGTAGTCCTCAACTTACAACAGTTTGCTTAGTGACTGTTCGAAGTTACAATGGCACTGAAAAAAAGTGCCTCCCAAGCCACAGCCGAGCAAGACACCTACCTGCCCACCCGGCAGCGCTCTTTCTCCTGTCCGAGGTTTTCATTGTTGTGAGCATTTCTGTTGAGGATTGGCAGTGGGGGTGGGGTGGGAGTATTTGGTTTTTATTCCCCCCATCTGCTGGGTGGTTGCAGCAGGTTTTGGTAACTTCACATGACCCTGGGACACTGTGACCATCATAAATATGAATCAGTTGCCAAGCATCTGAATGTAAATCACAAGACTCTGGAGATGCTGCAACATTCCAGCTGATCGGTGCTTCTTCTGGGCTCAGCAGAAGTACCAGGATCAGCACCGAGCTCCAGCTGGAGCCTGGCGCTGATCCTGGAGCTTCCACTCAGCCCTGACAGCCCTGCAGTTCCAGCCATCTCTCACTCAGGCTTGTGCGGTGCTGCCACTGGTTCAGCTCATTCCCCTCCCCCGCTACCATTTTTCTAGGATGGTTGTGTACCACCTGCCAGGTGCCAATGTACCACAGATGGTACCTGTACCACTGGTTGAAAAGCCCTGTACTAGAATGTCTTATTTTTCATGCGCTGGATGAAATCTTTGAAAAGGTTACCGTCCCACACAAAGGCCACAATACATTTAGAACTGCATAACATTCTGACATCCATAGATAATTCAGTGTATTTGCAATGGCTGCTTTCTTGCTTTGGCCAAGGCAGAATGATTTCATGATTCCAACTGAATAGGCATAATCCACCAGAGCATTTCTAGGGGTGATTAGGGCCTGGGAAATGCCAATAACATCAATGATGTGCTGAGTTTGGTCATTGGCATTGTTTGAAAACATTTACCTAACTCAGAAGCTAATTACTCTGGCTTTACTCATATTAAGCCTGTTCCTTTTGATTAGTGCTGAGCCACTTTTTGGTGGCCTTCACTTTAATTGAAATAAAATAGTAGGTTGGTACAAAATGGCATTGCGCATAGCTAGGAGCCTTTTAAAATTAGGTGCTTTAAAAAGTTTCAAAACAAACAAACCATGATGCCAAACCTCAGATGCAAATTATAAAAGGATTCTGAAAGCTGCAAATATCAGTGAACCCCATGGTTCTGTGGGTTGCCTCTCCATGATCCTGATGATGTCACAATCACAATGTGATGCCTGATTGACTAAGGTCGTTCCATGAATAATGCAGAAAAAGGGACAGCTTAATCAAGAATGGGCATGGGGTGGGGAAAATGATACCTATTGTTGCAAAACTTAGAAGAAACAATTTGGATAAGTATATAATTTGTTATTCACTTGTATATTCTGAATACTGCCACAGCATCTTACTTATACTTAAAATTCAGAGAATGAAAATATTGAAAACAGTAATTGTGCAAGTCTTTCAGAACCTGAAAATGTATATTGTGTTTTTCTGCTCATTTTGTTTTTCTGATGACAGATAATTTTACCTTCATTATCCCATTCCAATTGTCTCCTGTGGATACACGGAAGAGTGTGAGGAAAGCCATTCCAAAGTTGCGAAATGTTGCATGCCTCCCTAAACCCTCGCAGGGATGAGTGTCATCACATTCTATGTGTGCAATAAAAAAATAAATAAATAAAGACAATTTAGTCATAAAGGGGTTGTTTGGTTGTTATTGCCACAAACAATTCTATAGTTCAGGCGGTGCAGAGAACTTACCAAGGTCCCCAAACAGCTCCACCCCAAGAGCTGCAAATATGAAAAACAACAACATGAAGAGGAGACCTAGATTCCCCACCTGCAACGAGATAAGAGACGAAGAGGAAAAATACTCATTGAAGTTATACATCACCCGAGTAACTCTCACAATGAGGAATGTACATGCTATATTAGTTTCCCAAAGGTGAGAACGTGCCACTTTCCAGATACTGCTGAGTTCGTTTTGTCAGTAAACCTGGCCAGCAGTGAGGGATGCCAAGAACTGTAATTCATCAGTATTTGGTCATTTGCAAGTTCCTGCGCCTGAATATCCCTCCTTTCCTTCTTTAGCTTTACTAAATCTCATCTGGTCACTAGTCTATTGTTAAGATTTCTTATTTGTGTGAACACATACACATATTTTAAATTTAGATGTCCATAAGTATTGGTAATGAGAGAAGGATTTGCATTGAGAAAAATGATTCCAAAAGCTTTTCCTGATCCCCAAATGCCCAGCTGAATAAATAAACCAGTTTTAAATGTCAAGTGACTAGTCCACTGACTACAACTTGCTCGAGTAAAAAAAAAAAAAAAGCAAAATATTTGAAAGTTTAAAAGCTGAGCATATGTTTCTGCTCCATCAAGAGTTGTAGCTTTGGGATGTTGTGCATATTGCAGGGTGCATAAGCACAATATCAGATTACCACCTGGCCCACCATATAGCACTAACAAGAAATCTTGTCTTCTAAACCTGGTGCTTTTCAGATGCATTGGACTATAACACCAAATGGCCATACTGCCTGGGAATTATGAGAATTACTACATCTGAAGGGAACTAGGATGAAGAAACTTGTTCAGGGTCTGGAAAATTAGCATTTCTGAGCTGTAGAATTGATTTTTGCTCTGAAGATCAGAAAAAAAAAACCAGGAAAAGAAAAAGTACCTGAGTGCTTACATTTTTGAACTTTCGTTTCTATTCGAGTTTTTAAATTTCAAAACAGGTTTAATTTTACACCATTAAATTTGTGTGAATTATACTCAAAAATACAGCAAGTGTTGTCATGAGATCTCAACTAATTAGCTTTAGAGATTGCAATCTTTTCATTGGAAAGAAAGGTTCTCTCCTGAATTGGCACTAACTTACACACAATGTCTTTTGCTCATGGATGGACAAACATAATGCAATTTTCTTCCTCCAGCCTTTCCCCTCTGTTTTATTAATGCAAATTGTTTCTTACTTTTTTTTTTTAAAAAAACCTTATTTTAAATAGATAGATGGTTTCTGAATTGGCACAATCCTAATTCCCTCACTCTTCCTTTTTCTCATTGTATCAACTTACTGATTTACTTCGGAGTATGTATGTAGGGCCATTTACTTTGGAAGGAATAGCAAAACCTGGAGGGCAAAGTTAAAAGAGGGATCAGCCTAGAATCCCTATGTAGCCACAAACAGATTTAACTACATAGGGATTCTAGGCTGATCCCTCTTTTAACTCCACCCCCACTTATATTTGATGCAATTTTCTTGAAAAGGCTAAATTCCCAACTGGATAGGGGCAAGCAAATCTGTGATGATTAGCAAATAGGTAACAAAACTGAGCAGGAGGCAAACTACACTGAAAAACATACTAGAAAAAGAATGCTAGCTGAAGAATTCAGGGGAAAAGCAGTTCATTTCAGCCAATCCACAACAAAGTTCTAGCCTTCAAGAAGACACAAATATAGGAACCTTGCACAAAATTATCTAAATTCCTAAGATAATTAGACAGTGAAGGAAACTTAACTGAAGTCTGGATGATTAGACTGAAAGGTTACCTGAGGCAGTGCTTGCATGACTGTATCCAGAAGAGCTCTCATCCCTACAGCCATCTTCAGCAATTTTAACACTGCAGAAAAATGAAAGGTTTGTGATATCATTATCATAATAATGATACATGGAAAGAAAATGTAAATTTTAATATTCACAACAATTACCCGAAGAATCGTGTCCTAATATCCTCCACTAAAAGTTAATGTGCAAGACAATGTTTTATGGAGTCTTCTTCAGTCTAGAATACTTCAAATGTATTGGACTTCAATTCCCAAACTTTGCACTGGAAAAGCTGTTCAATGAGGTAGCCTATCCTCAGAACACAGTGCCTAAAATGTGTAAAAACTATGTTCTACACAGAGGTCCCAAGAATGAAGTTCCACTTTCACTCACTAATTGAGGGGATGTCAACATTATAACAGGAATGCAAAAGGGGCAGTGGTGGGATTCATCCGGTTCGCACCACTTCGGTAGAACCGGTAGCTAATTTTTTGTTGCTCAGGCCTAGAATGGACTTCCGGAAGTGGCATTCACACAGAGAACTGGTTGTTCACATATTTGAATCCCACCACTGAAAGGGGGCATTTACACACACATACACACATGCACACGCACACATACGGCAGTTACTGAGCAAAGCAAACCAGTTTTCAAAGGTCAGAAATTTATCTAATCTACAATTTCTGAAAATTCATCTTTGATCTTAGAGCTAAGAGGCCAAGTACATGCTCACTGATTTAAATGGCACCAAGACTGAGGAGGAAATCAAAGTTGTTTGTACTCTTTGATTCCAAATCTAGGATACAGCAATAGTGAGCCTGTGATTTTCCAAGCTGAGGATTTTATAGCCTAATATCACCTCCACTTGTTCCATAATAAATTCCTTTAATACTTTGTTGCCTGGAGCAAACAACACCATGTATAATTAATAAATAACACCATTGGAATATAGTGGCACAAATTAATCAGAGTAGTTGGGACCAAACATTTTTAATACATTACTATTTGTAATGTCTGACAACCAACCAAGTGTTTGCAGCAGTAACAGAAATCTGTTTTTGAGAAGATATGCTAATCTAGGATTGGAGAGATCCAGAGACAAATCCCTGCTCAGCCATGAAGGTCAGTGAGCTTGAATTGGTCACGTTGTCTCAGTTTAACTATATGCATAAAATGGAGGAAAGGGAGAACTTTGGGGGAACACCTTGAGAACCCAGAAATGGAGGAAGCTCCTTCTGTTGAGAGAAATCACTGTTTCATCTAGCCCATAATCAGTTCCGGGGATGCAAGAGATCAAATCGTCACTTTTTCCACGCAAAATTAGACAATGGGTTGGCTACAATGGAGTTATTAGCAATAGCAATAGCAATAGCACTTACTATATATACTGCTTCATAGTGCTTTACAGCCCTCACAAAATGGTTTACAGACATAGCCCTATTGTCCCCAACAATCTGGGTCCTCATTTTATCAACCTCGGAAGGATGGAAGGCTGAGTCAACCTTAAGTTGGTGAGACCTGAACTGCTGAACTGCTGGCAGCCGGCAGTCAGCAGAATTAGCCTGCCATACTACATTCTAACCATTGCACCACCACAGCTCTTAGCTCGATTAATAAAGCAAAATAATAGACCAAGGTTAGCATTAGCTTTGTAGTGGATGCTTAAGATGTATACATGCTACTGGGAAGAGTCTACTATGCCAGAAATGATCAGTTCCTATTTGGCCAAAAGTTTTATAGGGTGCAGAGCTCCAGAAACGATGGGGAGGACTGACCTCGAGCAATCCTGAGGACCCTCATAATGCGGATAATGGTAGGGTTGATGGGCAGTGATGCATTCACCTCAATCTCTTCCAGCGTGATCCCCATGATGGACAATAGGACGATTGCTAGGTCTAATTGATTCCACCTGAAGGTGAGACAAAAATCAAATGGAAAAAAATTCTGCTAAATTATTTGCTAGCAAAGGAGGGGGTTATGTGACAAAGAATGTCAATCATTTCAGGCATTTATGCATTCATGAACTGACACTCCACCTTTAGCAGTTGTTGAGATAAAACGAATTAAACAAAAGATGCATTACTAGAATACAAATTTAGTCAAGTCTGAATACACCAGCACCTGGAATGAATTAATCTGCAGGGCAACAGAAAAAAAAAAAAGACAACGTTGACTTCAGTTTCTTTAAATATTTTATTCAAGCTACATCTCTCTAAATATTTTATTAAACTGAACTTAGTTTGTCCAAAATCTTTTTTAAAAAGACTTGCCCTGTGTTTAATTGCTATTGTGGGGGGCAATGCAAGGAAAATATTCAAGGTTATATGGCAAAGATGGGGTTCAGGTACAAACAAAGAACAAGATGCTCTTGATGGAGAGTATCACATTAATTCTATATCATCTGCGTTTATTCAATCAACTCAGTATTTGTGTCTATGTATGTGTGTCTATGTCTGAGAGAGGTCTTCACAATTTAATCAGCTCACTAAAATAATGACAAATAACTAGTACTGAGAAACTCTGCCTTGCTGCTACTGCTCCATAAATAAATGCAGTGCTTTTTTTTGTCATAGGACACACCGGCACCTTTTTTGATGGATTTTCCAGGTTTTAAAAGTAACTTTTGAAAAACTGATGTTTGATCCACATGGACTTGAATCGCCCTGTTGACCATAGCAGGTTGGCAGCAAAATCATTAAAACGGTGCCTGTGGGCTGCTTGCGTGTCGAGTCCAATGCATATGTACTTCGTCTGTGCTGGTTGTGATGGGACTGCTCGGCTTGTGGCACTGCTCGGCTTGTGATTGGTTGTGTGGTTGCGCACTGAGTGCTTACTGCAGACAGCGACCGTTATGTTTCGTTATACAACTGAGGTGTGTGGGTGTGTGTACAGCGATTGACTACATGCAAAAGGTAAATAAAAGATTAACAACATGTGAATTCCGGCACCTTTTTTCTTACAAAAAAAGCACTGAGTAAATGAATTATTTGGGACTGCTGAACATCTGAAGAAATATGACAGTGACACTAACAGTTGACTGTTCTACATGCTCATGAGGAAATAAGATTCAAGATCCCCATTTGGCACACCTGGACACTTTTAGCACAAAATGGCTGCCATGGCAAACATGACCATCTTTCCTGAGCTTGCTCCTCACCGTCCCCTCTAATCTTCCCCATATAGCAGCTGTCACCTCAGTTTGCCTTTGACATTTTACTAAATAAGTAGGCACACCAAGCTGCAGTCTCCTTTCATTTCTTTAAAAAGAATGCCTCAAGGGTAAATGCATTTTTGGAAATAAAGATTGTGTTTGAGGCTGGTATTTTGCATTGCAACTTGCTAACTTTTCATTATAAAAACATAAAAGAATAAAGGCACAAGCTATATTAAGCAACAAGGGAGGAGCTAGCATTTTCTCTGGTGCCTACGAGGGCTACAGTGACAACCCAAGATATCAGTGTGATGGGAACAGGATTGGTTCACATTAATAATAATAATAGTAAAGTTGGAAGGGACCTTGGAGGTCATCTAGTCCAACCCCCTGCTCATGCAGGAAACCCTATACCATTTCGAACAAATGGCTGTCCAATCTCTTCTTAAAAACTTCCAGTGTTGGAGCATTCACCGCTTCTGGAGACAGGTTGTTCCACTGGTTAATTGTTCTAACTGTCAGGAAGTTTCTCCTTAGTTCTAGATTGCTTCTCTCCTTGCTTAGTTTCCATCCGTTGCGTCTTGTTCTGCCTTCAGGTGCTTTGGAGAATACCTTGACTCCCTCTTCTTTGTAGCAGCCCCCGAGATATTGGAACATTGCTATCATGCCCCCCCCCCTTGTCCTTCTCTTCATTAAACTAGACATACCCAATTCCAGAGCCGTTCCTTATATGCTTTAGCCTCCAGTCCCCTAATCATCTTTGTTGCTCTTCTCTGTACTCTTTCTAGAGTCTCAACATCTTTTTTACATCACGGTGACCAAAACCAGATGCAGTATTCCAAGTGTGGCCTTACCAAGGCATTGTAGAGTGGTATTAATACTTCATGTGATCTTGATTCTATCCCTCTGTTAATGTTGCCTAGCACTGTGTTGGCCTTTTTGGCAGCTAGTGATTGTCCACTAGGACTCCGAGGTCCCTCTCACAGTTACTACTATAAGGTACCCCCTATACTATACCTGTGCATTATAGGTAATCCTTGACTTATGACCATAATTGGTATTGGAACTTTAATGTGGTCATTAATTGAGTTGCACCTAATTTTATAACTTTTTTGCCAGGGTCGTTAAGCAAATCAATGCAGTCATTAAGTGATTCATGCAGTTGTTAAGTAATACTGGCTTTTCCTGATGACTTTGCTTTTTCGAAGCTCGTGGGAAGGCCACAAATGGTGATCACATGACCCCTGGATGCTGTAACCATTGTAAATACATGCCAGTTGCCAAGCATTCAACTTATGATCAGTGACCTTGAGGACATTGTGATGATCATAAGTGCGAGGATCAGTTGTCACTTTTTCAACATCTTAAGTTCAAACCACTGTTAAACAAATGTTTGTAAGTTGAAGACTACCTGTAATAAGAGAGTTACAGCTGCTATAAATGTGGTGTGCAGAGGTGGTGGAGCAAAATACACCAGTATGACATGAGTTTAGGGACAACAACCGCATTATATGATTTTATCATAAAGAGTTTAGCAAAGCACTGACTCCTTCATAGAGGGAAGCAGAAATTAAGAAAGGTAGGTATTCATGTTCATATATACTTCTGTATAATTTGAATTCAATTGGCAGAGATGAAATATCAATATAAGAAGCTGGAAATACTTCTACAGATCACAGCTAGCTAGTTTTAATAGGAAATAAACTTGGCATCTTTCTGAGTTTTGCCTATTTATTTTCCTATTTTTTATTAAGTCATTAGCAATTGCCAAATATGGTAAACAGATAGGTAAAATTAAACTTTCTAATATATAAATCAAGGCTGATCCTAATATGATGAGGATCCACTTTAGAAAGATTTTGAAGTACAATTAAAAAGGCAGAAAATTACTATATGGGCGATCCTATTTTTCCAGAAGGTTTTCTCTATTTTTTTAACTGTCACAAAAAAGATACTATTTATGTATTCAACTAATTTTTCTGTTAATTAGCACATTAGCATTAAGAATGGTCCAAAAAATCATCTACATCCATATATTTAGACAACAGAAAGAGCTGTACTGGAAGCATTAGGAATGGGACTTTTTGATTATGGAACATAAATTGCAAATTGACGCTATCAACTGCATACAGAGAGAATCAATATAAAATGATTTATAGATGGCATTTAACACTGGCGAGATTGGCTAAAATGTATAAAAACATAGACCCAAAGTGTTGGAAATGTAAAATCAGAGAAGGAACATTTTATCACATGTGGTGGCTGTGCCCCAAAGCAAAAAATTATTGGGAACAAATAAGAGATTGGATACAGGAGATAACTGAGATACAAATGGATTTCAAACCAGAATTATTTCTTTTGGGCATAATAAATTTAAAGATAGAAAAACAACTCCAACACATCATTATACACATATTGACTGCAGCTCATATAGCATATGCTCAATGTTGGAAGAGTGAAAATATTCCCACAAATGATATGATTATGTACAAAATCTTGGAATGCGCAGAAATGAACAAACTTATGTTAGAATTAAAAGACAAGGAGGCGACAGAATTTTATGAAATTTGGAATAAATGTTATAATTGGCTAGAACAGAGAAAGGAAAAGATATAACTATTGATGTACATAAAATGTAAATAAGATGTAAAGAATGCTTAAAATGTATAGTACTGTTCTGTTAAAAGAAAAGATTTATGTTTATGTATTTTAAGTTTGTATGGTGTATGGTGAAAAATAATAATAAAAAAAATAAAAAAAAGGAATAGGACTTTTTGAAGGAAATAAACCACCACAAAATCACCTTGCAAGGTTATTCTGAATCATTATTACCTATCTTGAAAGAACCGACGAAACCCAAATGCAATGAGCTTGAAAACTGATTCCATGACAAAGATGATTGTGAAAATGTAATTGCAGATCTTCAGAGCTTCCTCGAGAATCTGAAAGCAGAGAGAGACAAATGGTAGATAACTGCATATTGTTAGGAGGATATTGGCAAATTTCATTTTCAGTTGAATCCATTCTATCCTCTGCTTTATAGGAAAAAGAGTGAACTGCTAAATGAAGAGAAGCCTGTAAATGTAGTATATCAGACACCAGGAGAGTGTGTTAGCTTCTGAAATGTTGCTATCATTCCAAGTAGAGAGATGATAATGGCCAAAGTCAACCCTCGATGCTTTTTAGGAAAGTTAACAACAACAACAACAACAACAAGCTCAGGACCCAAATATCATCAGGACTGCCTACATCCACTGGGTTTTGCCCATCCAAAAGAACGGGAGGAGTGAACTCTCTTTTCATCCCTTATGTAAGAGATCCCAGAGAGCAGCCTTCTCAGCAGCATCCCTACTTGCTCAGTATGAGCCCTCCAAAGAAGTGGGGATGCTCCTGAGCAGGCTGTTCTCTGGGATCTCTGCAGGTGACCTTTTCTTAAATTAAAGAATAAGAAGACAGTCCAAATGGCATCCTTTCCCCTCTGGCAAATTAGATTGGCTCCTTCCTTGTTAATAGTCCAGAAAACTATTCCAAAAAGTTTGCATTGAGGAACTGTTGGGCAGAGAGAGGCCCCCTGCTACAAGACATGTCCATGTAAGTTTATCCTTTTGGTGCAAAGTGTATTGTAATTGTCAGTCACTGGCATTTGCCTTGCCCTTTCTTAATCGCCTAACCGGACAGGGTCTTATGGTCTGTTCTGAGTCTTCCTGGATTAGACTAGCATATAAATCCAACTATAATCAAGTAAGCAAGCAAGCAAGCATGCAAGCAAGCAAATAAACAATTTAGGCTGGACAAATAACAATTCCCCTCGCCTTAGTTCTCCAAAAGACAGAATCTATTACTAATATGTCAGTGCTGCCTTTTATCAAATATTGCTATCAAGAATGTATCGGTGAGTAGAGACTTTTGGGAGATAAAATTCTAATTGTCGAATAAAAGTACTTCATGAATAGTTAATCCCGATTCCAAATTTAGAGAGAAAAAAATAGGTTATTATGGGAAGAAAATATCACGTAGTTATTAGAGGGAAAAGATCTGTACAGGAAGTCATTGATTTAAGACCACAGTTAGGACCAGGATTTCTGTTGTTAAGTGATGTGGTTATAAAGCACAATATCATATGACCACATAACTGAGCAACGGCATTCTTGGCACTCCCATTTGCTGTCATTGACTTCTACTGGTCATTAGCTGAGGACCCACCCCAAAACAAGCCATTCCACGCTTGGTCTCTCCCAGCCCCAAGCCTCAGTAGAATAAGGGACTATCTCCAATTCCCCACAAACCTATCTGCCCTCTATCTCTGCTTTTTTGACCATTCTGCACTCTGGCTTATGGGGCAGCAAGCAGTGCCATAAGAGCTGCTTGCCAGGCTGTGGCTCAGAGGCTTCTTACCATGAAGACGGCAAGAAGTCGCTGAGCCACAGTGCATGAAGCTATCAGGATTACCTGTGGATAAAATATAGAAAAGATAAAGCATCATGGAAATAGAGGCAAATGTCCCAATTCCAGTTTTCAATCTTCCTTGCAGTCATGAAAAAGTACAGAGAAGGGCAACAAAGCAACAAAGATGATTAGGGGACTGGAGGCTAAAACATATAAGGAACGATTGCTGGAATTGGGTATGTCTAGTTTAATGAAGAGAAGGATGAGGGGAGACATGATAGCAGTGTTCCAGTATCTCAGGGGCTGCCACAAAGAAGAGGGAGTCAAGCTATTCTCTGAAGCACCTGAAGGCAGGACAAGAAGCAACGGATGATCAATGTTCAGACTGGATTTGGCATTTTTGTCTACCTATCGAGTCCTTACCAAGGACCTGGGATAGACAGATGTGGATGTTTGATGGTATTACAGATATCGTCACAGGATAGAAGCAGTAAGGCTGTCTTTTGCAAGTGACTAATGATGAATTTGTCAATGCCAATGGTGTTGAAGTGGTGCTCCAGTTGTTTTGGGATTGCAACCAAGGCACTTGTTACTATTTATACTATTATTATTATTATCATTATTAGCCTAATTTCCAAAACAACCAGCTTGATCCTGCCAAAAGACAATAGAAGCAGTTTATCATTGGATTCTTTGCGCCAGCTCAGGAATCATCCGTGGAAGGAAGTTTCTGCTGCTACTTGTTGGATCACAAAGTTCACATGAACTCAGAGTGTATCCAAATGAAGATGCAAGTACAAATCCGCCACTGAGATATGTGAAGCTGTGGTTGCATGTTTCAATGGAAGTTATGTAGTATTTAGTGACAAAATGTACTAAATGTACTGCACATTCAGTTCAATTTACATCAAACTTATTTGGCTCATTGTATCGGCATGAGACTATTATTAGCTCTAGATGCTGACACTGGCTGACAGAATTAGCTAAACATTTGTGTAAAAAAACCCAGTGATTGCATCCTTCTGTGTTTCATAATCATACAAAGCTAGTCACTGTTAAGACATAATTAACAATCTATTTTAGCTTGAAATTTACTGGATCGTAGTATAAGAGCCAGCCACTTGTTCAAGATGAAGCAGCCACCGAGGTCATACACTGCCATATTTTCTCACCATATTAGACTTTTAAGTACTTTTGAGTTTCCATCTCTACTTCACCTTCGTTTACCTATGGCATTTGTTTCTTCTCAAAGCGGTAGGAAATAAAAATAACTCCGGTACACAAATTGGCAGCCATTTCCATCTAACTGTCATAAGTAAGTGATTTGGAAGCAGTTGTTCTTATAATTTGAACGTACAATTTTAAATGGAAGAGTGCGTCTGCTAATGGAGCAGGGAGTAGCTGCTCAGCCAAAAAGCTGAATCATCACAGCAGGAAGAAAGACAGGCCCTTAGTTTTTGGTCCTGCTGAAAATTAAATTGTTCAGGCTACAAGAACAGGTTGGACTGTTATTTTGTGTAGTCATGGAGTTAAGTAAGGTTAAAGATTTCAGGATTCTGAATATTTAATAAGGACAGTAAAATCAACATTTATACTTTGCTTATATTAGTCCAACCATACTCCATAGCTGGCCTTGGATATTATTAATTGCTACCACCATCACCACCAGTAAAAAAAACCCCTTAGGGCAGGAGTAGGCAACCTTGGCTCTTTTATGACTCATGGACTTCAACTCCCAGAATTCCTGAGTCAGCATAGCTGACCGCCTTAGGGCAAAATGGCCTATTCTCTTAGCATAGTATAGTCATATTCCAGCATTTTAGTTTCTACACTCTATTGGTCCTATCCTTTCTTACTTAGTCTCCATTTCTGCCTCCAAGAAGAGGAGATCTACAGTATGTACTATTGCATATGTATGTGTGTGCATGCGTACACACATCCACATCCACACCCACACCCACGGTTCCAGGGCTCCTGTGATATCTCATTAGCATTTCTGCTTCAAAGTCAAATTAAGTTTACTTCTGGCTGGATTTCCCAAATTTTAAAATGGCAGAACAGTTCTGAAACTTGAGAGGCTGAGCTCCTTAGGGGAGAGATTATTTTCCCTAAATTCCCCCCAACCTCCCAACCTTCCTTTCCCCCCTTCTTTCATCCCACTGGCTGGCAAGTTATCCTAGTGTCCTCATATACTAAGTTTTGGGATGGGCTGTCAGACTTATTATGGTGGGGTTTTTTTTTTTTTGCTGCATCACAAGTGTGGCAATGTAAAGGCAAGCCACTTTTAGCAATTTCTCTGCCAGTTGGCAGTGGGTGGGGCTGCTTGGTGTTGCTAAAAATTATGGTGGAGGTTCTTGTGACCTGAGATCTGAGGGACCGGTGTGGGACTGGGTGAAGGAAATGTGTTGGTGCAAAAGTGTCAAGTGGTATCATGAGTGTTACAGGTATTTTATTTTTACACATCTTATTCCATTTAATCCCCACACTGTATTTATGTGATTAGATGCATTACATTTATAGTGGATTTTGAACTGAGGTGTATCTGGTGGAAAGGTCAAAATCTCAGAAAAACTGGCTTCTTCTAGTTTTTTCGGTGAAGGATTCATTATCAGACTAATTCTGATAGTCTGAATTGAGAAGAGAAGAAGTTGAGGCTTGTTGTGGCCATTTTCTATATTCTAAAATTGGAAATGCTTTTCACATGTAAACAGCCATAAATTAAATGCAAGAGGATAAAAAATTGGCAGTGTTAGTCATCATCAGACAAAAATAGATAGTTACAATAGTGGAGAATATACTGTATGTATTTTGGAGTTTGCCTGGTTCGTGATGGTATCTGCACCTGTTTTTTTTTTTTTTCTTGCAGGCATTTCTATAACATGTTACCTAGTCTGATAATGACCCATCTCTAAGATGAAAAGTAAGCTTAGGGAACACTAAAACCCGCACAGAACTAAGTAGATTAACACATCTTTTGCCTTAAACTTCACAATGAGCACAAAAGCTTCAAAAAATTGCATGCAACCTTCTGTATGTATGTCTCCATAATGACACAGGCAAAATAAACATACAGCATTCAGATCTATAGTGCTAAAGCTACTAATTATCATATGGTTAAAAGCAGAAAACTGGCTTTACTTGCTGAGTGTCTTTTTTTAAATTAAAAGTTTTTTAAAATTTTACACAATATATCCCAAATCCCTCCCCCCTCCCCCACTTCCCAGAGCTGGTTACAGGATTACAAATAAACAAACTTAATCTAACTAACATTACCCATCTAAACTATCAAACAATGCATAACATACTTTAACTACTTTTCAAGATAAATATTAACAAATTAAAAACAAAAATAAAATATAATTAAACCATAATACTAAAAATAATACAAATTCAACCATATTAAACTATTAATAATAATCTAAAATTTACTCATAAGCAAGACAATACTTTTCAATCTCATATTTCTTTTGAATATAATCAATCCATCTTCTCCAAACTGAAATATATTTACTTGCTGAGTGTCTTGAGAGGAAACAGCATTCTGAATATTAAAAAGTCACCAAATTTAGCGCTTCCTTAAGAAACATTTGTCTCAAGCACTACCTTTGGCACAACCAATGTTCAGTATCTTGACTGCTTCTACAGCATCTTAGCAGCAATTAACATCAAAGGAACAAATTCTGTGATTCAGCAAAGGAGCCAGTTAGACAGACACCAGCCCCGCCCCAGTCATTGGAGCTGTGGCAGCCATCTGATTGGGTGTTTAATCGGGATTCCGTTCAGAGAAACGGACTCATTGGCCTAAATGGCATCTTCCAACTCCTGTAAGCTTAAAAAAGGAGACCTTTAGAATTTCCTACTGAGTTTTATCCACCAACGAGATTTAAGATGTAAACCCAAGAAGGCTTATTACCTGAGTTAATCTTTATTTAATTTTTCAGCATATTTATTCACTCATTTTTTGTAACAGATTATTTAGATATCTGAAAATCTGAACAGTTAATGGAAAGAAGGCTGTTAATACCGAAAAGCTTTGGGACTGAAAGAAATTACACAGAACATTCAACTTTTAGGATTATTTTATACATAATAAAAGCCCTTCAATGGAAAGCAACCTTGTAGCTATTGTAACTCATTGTTGCATGTCCCCAATCCAGGGAAACCATATTCCCTAGATGTTTCCCTGACGCCATAGGAATGCAGCTTATTTGATCTTCATGAATTTGGCTATGAATTGATGTCATCTGCAAATACTGCATAACTCTTGGAAAAATATCAAAGCGTCAAAAGTGCAGATATGATTTTGTGTGTGTGTGTGTGTGTGTGTGTGTGAGAGAGAGAGAGAGAGAGAGAGGGAGAGAGAAATGTAGGCTTTGTGAAAGAATATCTTAAAATATTCAAGTCAATCATATTTGGCTAAGATCCAACATACATATTTAAATAAGAATGTTTGTGTGGGTTTTTTTGTGTGTGTATGTGTGTGTAACAGGTTCAATCAGAACGAAAGGAAATTAGTGCCATCCAAGTGAAGAAAGTGAAGATCTCTCTAGCAACATGCCATTAGCGTAGTAGTGAACTCACTACCAATTATTCTATTTTAATTAACAGAAATGCAATTCTAATTCTTTCTAGCAATGATGCTAATATCCACCATTGACCAATACTCTTCTATCCTACCTTGGGCTGGTGGTAATGCTCCATGGCCATGGTGATGACATTGAACCCAATCACACCTGTGATGAATAAATCCAGATAATGGGTGGTGCACATTTGGTGAATCAGAAGTCGGAAGCGAGAATAATCAGAGTAATACGGTTTACACTGTGCTTCTGAAAAGGAAAAAATGAAGGAACAGTTTAGAAAACAATCCCTTTTTCGCAAGGCCAGGTTCAGCACTGGCTTTCAGATTCATTTAAGTAAGATTTTTTCCCCCCACAGGAATGGGGTAGGGCAAATGTGTTTACAAACTACTATAATTAATGCACAGCAAGACAGTACATTCATATACCTGTTTGAGCAATTCCAATAAAACATGCACAACAGCCAGGCTTCTGTGACTAGATATAAGGTGAGTAAAGCATAAAATCATTTCAGGTTTCAAAATAATCTTAGTAAAAAGATTATTGTTTAAATATATTACATTTTCTTGTTACCAGACTTAAAGGCATGTGACCAATTTTATTATACATAATAACAGCAGCTTGAAGCATTAGCATGAGATATTGAAAAACCATAAAAGTTTTGGGAAAAAAATCAAAGTTTGGGGCAACTTGGAAATGATACACAAAGCCTTTTGACAATAGTAGTCGTACACATAGAGATCATTCATGACATATTTAGGGTAGAAATGCTGTGACGGAATGCTTGCATGTCTGTGACATATACCTTTTGTTTTGCAATGTCCAGATAACCTGGAACCTTGTATATGTCAAGCTTGTGCTCTACAGTTTATCCAAGAACTTAGTGCACTTAAGACAGTGAACAGATAAAAGGATACTGTGTGGAATAGCATTTTACAGTAAAATACAGAAATTTAAAAGAGAAAGGAGATATACGATTGTAAAACATCCAAACAATAATAATAATAATAAATACCCCAAGAGCATCTCAATGTACATGCTAGAGGAGTAGAGAAAAAAAGTGGAAACACCTTGTTCTCCGTTTCAGGAAAACAGTTTGTGAAAAAAATGTTTTCTGAATGCTCAGAACTAAATGATCTTCCATTTAGATCTTCCATGATTGCTAAAAGGCAGCCATTTCTGTGATTCCCTGATGTTTGGCTGCATCAGGGATGACACTCTCTCTTTAGACCCTGAACGTTCCAGCAGATAAACTCATTATACATCTAATCTCTAATGAGGAAATGTCAAGTCTATAATTCAGGGCAATTTTTGAAGAGGCATTATAATGCAACCTCAAATGAAAAGCACTGTCTTGAAGATGTCAGAAATAACATTATGCCTGCAATTAAATGATCAACTGGTTATGAACATGATTGAGCCAAAGGAATTGAATGGTATGGTATTTAGCAACACTGAGCAAATATAAGAATTCATTTGGGGTGGGGGAAGTGTGGCTATTTGTGATTATAAAGAAAAGCTAAATTTAGGAGTCATCAGTTTTGCATGTAGAGGCCATCTAGCTTGTCTCCTAGGTACTGAAATGTTGATGTTCTAATTCCATCTTAGGGACTGATGGGATTCAGTGTTCCTTTTGCATGGAAGAAGGACGGTCTTGTTTCTGCCTGCAAACCTCAAGTAAATAACAGCTCCCTCCACATAAATAAATAATTTATGTTATCTTTCCATCTGATTTGATATGAAAGAATCAAATGTGCATAAAACCTGTGAAGTTGTCAGGAGTCATCACATTATGTCAGGAATGATAGCACAAACCTGTTTTTCCTGAGTAAAATGTTTGTTTAGATATATAAGGGGCTGAGTATAGGATTATTTTTGCAGGCAGGGTTGACACTGCATATCTCTTGCTTGTTGAAGAGAAAGAGAGTCTTCTTGAGACTCTACTTTTTTGAAACTGACAAGAAAAAGGAAAGTGTTGCACTGCGGGTTTTCTTCAAATGATCCTAAATATTTGCACCAGTTTTTCAAAGTAAGAGAAAACTTGCTGCTAGTCTATATGCTGTCTGATCCTGAATGTCATGTTATAATATGTAAATTGAGACATACAAGATGAATTTGAATGCTAAATACATTTCTAAAATCTAGACAGGTTGGTAGCTGGCAGAATCACAACTTTCATCAGAACTGTAACATTCTGCATAAATATCCATAAAAACAGAGATATCTCAGTGGCATTATGCAAAACTCTGAAGAGGAAATTAACTAAAATGTCTGAATAAAATTAAGTTTTGAACTGGGGCCCTGGCTATGAACCAAGTTACACTTTCAAAGAGAAGCCCTATTCTAATTTGCTGATCTCTTATTGTTCAATGCTTATCCATAATTCACATTCAGGCAGGGAAAAAATGTCACAATTTCTGTCTTTTCTTTGGGACAATTTATTTATGAATAATTGCACTGGCATCCAAGGGTTCAGCTATGACTGGCAGATTAATTCCAAACAATAACAAAAGAGGCTGTTAATATATAGCAGGGATTTATACTGAGATTGCAAATGTTACCTGCATAGCAACAAAGCATGTGGTAGCATAATCTTATAAGCAGGGTTGCTCATTTCCCATTCCTTATGCTGTGAGTGAAGACAGTCATTGTATTTAAATAAAAGCACAGGGAGGTTATTCACCTGCAGTGTGTGAATTCAGCTTCACAGATCAAACAACATATATCCGTGTGTGTGTGTGTGTGTGTGTGTGTGTGTGTGTGTGTGTGTGTGTGTGTGTGTGTGTATAGCTGAATCCCAAATCACTATCAGCCTTGCCTCTCCCATATACCTCCCTCAGGTGAAAAGTTCACCTTGTTTTGTTTTCTTCCTCCTTTTGTTCCCAAAATGCGATGTGTCTTTTTGTCTGTTTTTCCATTCACTTTTTTATGCAATTTAAAAAAAGGAAAATGTTTAGGAACAGTTGCAAAACAGTTCTGAACAATGTAGACTGGGGAAGTATATCCATCATGGCTTAGGCACTGGCGACTGAGACTGGTCCTGCCAGCTTTGGGTTTTTCCTTTGATATCCAAGGAAGATTTGGGTATCAATTCTCCCGATTTGGAGAAAAAAAATGAACTTTTAAATGACAAAAAAATACTACGTATTCCAACAGCTCCCTTCACCTCCAGCACTTTGTTTAGTCTGTCTTTACCATGTATTTCCAACTAATATCCTATCCTGTGATTCAAGAGCATTCACTATCACCAGTTTTTTTAAGTTACAATTCAAATTATTGTGATAAATTTGCAATGCTGTATTTTATTAATGCCTCTGCATCTGCCAATAAAGTTATTAATATGGCATTTAGTAAGCCCTGCTTCTAAATCTTGCTAACCACTAGCTTTGTCATGCTTGGCATTCCAGTCATGCAAATTAGTAGAAATTATACCTTTTACTTTGCAAAGAACCACACATAGTGACACCATGCTTCTTGTGGGTTTTAAGCTAACAGCTCCTGATTTTAAGTGGGCAGGAACCTTATTTTCAAATACCAATATTATTGCTTTTTAGGAGATATCAAGAAGCCAGATTTATGATTGTTTGTAAATATTGGTATTTAGACACTTTTAATATATACCTTAAATCCATGCCCCCCTTTCAAACAAACATTGTTTGTACCAGTACATATATATCTTGGGAAATACAGACACCTGTTCAAATGATGAGTCACACCAAATAACACAATACCACAAATACTGCTACAATACATTGGGATTGAGGATGACAGGATGCTGCAATTAGTCTGGAAGATTCTAGAAAAATTGAGATAGCATCCTGTCACTGAGAAACCAGTGGGATATGTGTCTGTTTATATGTGTGTAGGTAAAGGAGAGAAGAAAAGGGAGGAAAGAAAATAAAATGATTGAGTAAGAACATGCATCCACTGGGAGATGTCCGCCAACAAGCCCACAGTAAGCACCAGATATTGACAGATGATCAAAACAGGTTTTAAATCAAGCTGCTGTATTATGGCCCAGAGGAAACGGAGTGGACATGCACTGATTTAAACTCATCCTGATTCCGTCAAAAAGTAGAATTAGAACAAAGTTGCTTTTTCTATAAATAGCAAAGTGTCTGCCCTGTAACCATTTAGCTGCAGCTGGTTTTCAGATACCTACTCATGATCCTAGCAGTTCTCAAATCATGTGGAGAACTATATGTCAATCCCCATCTCTTTCTTGATGTTTATTATTTTTTATTTAATGTTCATACCAGAGAGAAATTTTAAAATGTGATCATATTATCACTGATATATATATATATATATATATCTGTGCTACATTGTGACTGGAATATTTATGAATTAAACAAATTTATATGGCGATCCAACTCACACATAGCACCAGTGGGAAAGCAGTCTTTTATTCATCATATAGCCTGAAGCCAGTCTTCTTTTTTTCTTCTCCACAGATTTTCTAGAATGATGATGTGAAGAGATCTGGTGTGGCAGCTGTAACCAGCTGTCTAATAGCATTGGCATTTATGTATCATTTTGAATGGCACGTGAAGTGGCTGGTTGCTTAATGTTTCGCAGGCAGGGAGCTGAATGCTGCCTCAAGCTTTCATAGAATGGAGGAGAGGTCACAGGCAAGCAATATCACTAAGCAGCTGGATTTACAAACTGTCCAGGGAATATTAAGTTGAAGGTGATGTGCATGGAAGGAATGTTGACATTTAAAGAAGTAGCTTTATTAGTCTTTTTAGTGAATGACATTAAAAAAAAAGCAATGTGGAAAATGATTAAATTATTCCCATTGAGATTTTTAGTTATAAGAGGCAGCATCTTCCAAAAAATGAAATATCCACTCCAAACCAGCAATCAACAGAAAGAGATTATGCAAATATAGAACATACTTTCCCACATGGTACAGCTTGTAAAATGCAAAAGCAAGAATAGACAACCTACATTTTCACATACAAATTACTCATTTGAATAAGGAAAGTTTGCACAAGGTGATGTAGCATTCCTTGTTTCCTTGCAACACACACATTTAGATACTGTCTTTTCACACTAACAAGCACTGCAGATTATGTATGATAGCACTATTAGGAGTCTCAGACAGCAACGAAGAAACACCAAGTACCGCATTGAAACTAATATATACAAAAGCCAAGAATTATGAGATTATTTCTGAGCCTGCCGTGATGAATGACCCTTTTTGAAGCCAACACATTCAAAACATAATGAAACACTCAAATATATACAATGAGTATTTAACCACACTGAAATTGCACATCTATGAGATGCTCTCCCAGTATCTATCCAAAAGGAGACCCAGGTTTAGCCTCCCAGCCCATACGGAGAATATAGATATACAAACACACTGAAATGAAATGTAGGAAATGGCAACATTAAGGAGATTTAGGATTCAGTAAAATAAGTTGGGTCAATTTTAATTAAGTCATAATATATGGATAAATAATTTCTGGCTTATTCTTTTTCATTGTTTTTTTTAAACATAATCCTAGGTGTTCTTTCAGAGCTGCATTTCAGATGAATGTGGCACATCAGGCAGAGTGATATAGGCACTGCACCCATTTAGCTGCCAGCACCAAGAAGTAATTGACCGACTTGAAAAAGGTTCCCCGCTAATTGGCTCTAGGCTGCTCAGCTCATTTGTCAAATTCATGTCACAAGTCTTGGCTTGCCAAAGGTGTAAATCCTGAGAGTGTCTTCTTCTCATTTAGAGCTGACAAGATGTTCAGCTATGATAAAGAAGGCCTTGCCATATTTTTTATTGTTATGTGTGTTTTTGTCTGAGCTGTTATTTGCTTTGCTGTTGTTTGTTTGTTATTGTTTTAATTGTTTTAAATTGCATATTAGATGTTGTAAGCAACCCAATCTTTTTGGAGTGGGAGGCTGCAATACATCAAAATAATAAATTAGTACTCATGGTTATCCTTCTTTGTCCGGATTACTTCATAGGACTAACGCTAGCTATGTCATTCAGATTCTAAGACAAGGCCTCAAAAATGGACCAGGAAGATAAATTCTATCCTATGTTCTGCTCAAGGCTAGTAAATTTCAATAGAGCCATTGACTACTTCCCAACTTTCTTCCTTGATGTTCAACTGCATTATTATCTATTTCTGTCACATCTTTTCATGTAAGCAAAGTAGCCATTAAGGTCAACTCCACAGCAGAACACATGGTTGCTGGTTTCCGCACTTGTAAAATCATCTTAAGAAAAATAAAATAAAATAAAATGAACTTGTATCTTTACATGGGAACCAAATTCTGATTTTAGAAAAAAAAATAACAAAAATGGCAAAAAAATTGTTAGCAAATTTATATGGAGTAGAAAAAAAACCAATGTTAAATTTAAAAAATTACAATATTCAAACTATATTACAAAGCTAGCTGTTTTGTCATGGTTAAAAGATGGGCTTTAACTTTAAGAACTCACCCAGTTTAGGAGTTGGTGCCCAGGGAGATTTAAGAAAACTTACTTTCTAAAGTGTGGAAATTGCAACCTCCTTCCACCGCTATCCAACAGAAACATTTTACACTCTTCCTGTCTGAATTCCTTCTTCAAATGTGTTGGGTAGGATGCGGCTGTGGCTAGAAGGACAGGGCTCCAGTTGCTCCCTCCCTCCATTGCCAGAGGGAAGAAATTTACCTCATGAGTATGGCCATCCCAGTTAGTATTCCTGCTTAGACATCCAGACTTTAGTCCAACCACCCATCTTTATTTCAGTACATGGACTGGAACTGAGAAATTAGCAAACAATCTATGGATCCTTCCTCTATAAGATGACGTATTATGAAATAAGAGCATGCAGCTTTTTATTATAACTATGAAACATGTGGCTTTGGTAATGCCATCTAGCTTCCGCAGAGTCTTTCTTCCCATGCCCTACACATATTCCATATACAGATACCTGGAGCCTCAGAGATAATGAAGAGGACTGATGGCCACAAGGTAAATCAAATTCACCCTAAACTAATTTGAACATAAGGTATACCCAAGATACCTATAGGAAAAGGCAGTTAGGCCTGATTCAATTAGAAGTAGAGTGAGTACATTCACCCTTTCCATGCTGGGTTTATTCCATTATTGCTATGCTAGAAGAATTTAAGCAAATATAAACTGCCTTCTAATGTGGAAGAACACTGGGTTCAGAAATGCATAAAACCAGTCTCCATTGGTTAGTCTGGTGATTGCCTTTCTTATGAGCAATGGAATTCTCTTCTAGATTCTTTAGGAAACTTGGAGAAGGAATTATTTAAATTTCCTTAAATTTTGGCAAGAAGGGGAGATGAGAACAGTGTTTCTTTCTCTTTCTCTCTCTCTGCTTCTCTCCAAAGTTCAGCAGAAAAAAAGAGGAACATGCAGAGAACCTGGAGGAAAAGCATGGAAACTGTAAGTTAGAAACAATAATTATTGAGGAGAGGCATAGCCTGTCGGATCCATAATTGTATAAAGGGCCAAGCTGTTTATAGGCAGAACATTACAAGGCTGAGTGGCATATATAGAATAGCTCTAAAGTAGATGACCCAGACATCATCCAAAAATCTCTTTCTGAAAGCAGCAAAGGAGGACAATGTTTATGATGAGAAATAAAATTATCCAAAAACCAAGACAACATATAAATATCCCAAATTAATTGTGTCAGTGATAGGTCAAGCCTGCAGATGTTTAAATCAAAACAAAGCATGCAGAGTAGAGAGTGAGCAAAGAAAGACCTTCCACTACACACAGTCCAGTGAGATGACTCAAAGAACCCATGGCCAGCCGTTAAGTCACACAGCACAAAAAGTCACGTGAGACAAAGACGGCAAGGACATCCCAGTACCTGGCACTGCACTGGCTGAGCTGTCCATTATTACATCATCCAGCATTAGATCTAGAAGAATGAAAGGTCATTAAATCACCTGAGAGGACAGGAAGCAAACCCTTCATCCCACTTCCAGCATTCATCACTATTATGGCAAGGCAAACCAAGACACCCCCCCCCCCAATGGCTAAGGCATTTCCTATGAGATACCTGATAGAGTTTAGAAGAAAGCATTGTGCAAACTCTGGAACACAATTCCACCCCATGGAAACAGCCAGAGATTCTCTCTGTTCTATGACTCACCAGAGCTTATAAACTGAACATATTATGGACTATCCTTTATATGGTGCCTCAGTTGGCCTTCTTCAGTCTGTGCCCACCTCAGGAGGCCTGCACTAGAAGGTCAGGATGCATCCTTCTTTTTCTCCATTCCTGCCCCTCACATTACTACAACCTCATTACTACTGCTTACCTTGCTACTCAGATTAAAATCTTCAAGATAGTTTTTGTGAGTGTGTATGAATTAATCATATTAGTTCTGTTAGATATTAAGGATAAAAATAGGACTTTAGAAATTCTTTAGAATAATGCAACTTGAAGATTTTTTTTTTCCTTTCTGAAGCAGATATCCTCTCTTTCTGCCAGTTAGTGGAAAGCAATTTTTTATCCAATTCCTGAATCTACATCCAAATTACAGGAAAATTATACAGCTATACATAATTTTTCCAAATTTTGTGAAGCACTTTATAACTCAAGAGAGAGAGAAAACAAGAGAGATCTGTGCAAAAAATACATATATTAGGAAAGGGTGTGCAGCTAAAACCACTATATTAAAGATAATTATTTCCAAATATTTTGTACATTAAGATGTGTACAAAAATGCATGCGAAATTTTTACAAATGCAATTTTTATGCAACCTTCATTGCAAACAAATTCAGAAAAAAGATCAGATAAAGTTGTGGCTGGAAAAATAGGATTATGAACATAAACAAACTTGAAAATTTGTCTACTTTGAGTGATACTTGGGGATGGTATATATTATTAATTGGATGTTCATATGAGATGCTTTTATTCCAGTAATACAAGCCGTGGAAACACATAATAGCTTTATCTTTGCATGATTTCTGCATTATGAGCCTTGGAATTAATAATACGTGGCATAGGACAAAAATAATTTTCTCCACTGTGAGATAATGGTTAGCAACTACTGTTAGGGGAAAAGTCTTTCACGATAATAGAATTTTTTTAGGAATCTGTAAATCGGAGAAGAAGAGGTTTACATAAATAGGAGCAGCATTTTATTTGGAAGCGTTTATATGGAAGTTCCCTACGGGATTACTGGCTATATTCCCAAAAGACACTAAATTAGGGTGAACCATGTGTGGCCCTTAAGTTCCTTTCTTGCATCCTTCAGAGGCTTCTCTGACCATGACAGCTGAAAACTTCCCATATAGAAGTGGTCAGCACATGAAAAAGATGGGTAAGGCCACACTTGGAATACTGCATCCAGTTTTGGTCACCACGATGTAAAAAAGATGTTGAGACTCTAGAAAGAGTACAGAGAAGAGCAACAAGGATGATTAGGGGACTGGAGACTAAAGCATATAAGGAATGGTTGCTGGAATTGGGTAGGTCTAGTTTAACAAAGAGAAGGACGAGGGGAGACATGATAGCAGTGTTCCAATATCTCAGGGGCTGCCACAAAGAAGAGGGAGTCAAACTATTCTCCAAAGCGCCCAAAGGCAGGACAAGAAGCAATGGATTGAAATTAATCAAGGAGAGAAGCAACCTAGAACTAAGGAGAAACTTTCTGCCAGTTAGAACAATTAATCGATGGAACAACCTGCCTCCAGAAGTTGTGAATGCTCCATCACTGGAAGTTTTAAAGAAGAGACTGGACAGCCATTTGTCCGAAATGGTATAGGGTTTCCTGCCTGAGCAGGGGGTTGGACTAGATGACCTCCAAGGTAACTTCCAACTTTATTATTATTATTATTATTATTATTATCATTCATCGCACAGTCAGCCAGATATTCAGACTGGATTTGGCATTTTGTCTACCTATCGAGTCCTTACCCAGGACCTGGGATAGGCAGATGTGGATGTTTGATGGTATTACAGGTATCGTCGCAGGATGGAAGCAGTTCCTAATAAGGCCGCCTTTTGCAATTGACTAATAGCGAATTTGTCAATGCCAATGGTGTTCAAGTGGTGCTCCAGTTGTTTTGGGATTGCACCCAAGGAGCCTATGACTATTGGTACTACCCTTGCTTGCTTTTGCCACAGTCTTTCTATTTCTATTTGTAGGTCTTTGTATTTTGTTATCTTCTCCAGTTCTTTCTCTTCTATTCTGCTGTCTCCAGGCACTGCCACGTCCACTATCCAGACTTTTTTGTCTTTCTTATCGACAATTGTTAAGTCTGGGGTGTTATGTTGCAGGTGCTTGTCTGTTTGAATTCTGAAGTCCCAGAGCAGTTTAATTTTATCATTTTCTATGACTTTCTCTATTTTATGATCCCACCAGTTTTTGCTTACAGGCAAATGATATTTTTTGCAGATCTTCCAATGCACCATTGTTGCTACTTTGTCATGCCGCTGCTTGTAATCAGTCTGTGCAATCTTCTTGCAAGAGCTTACCAAGTGGTCCACTGTTTCTTCAGCTTCTTTGCATAGGCAGTACTTACTGTCTGTTGCTGTCTTCTCAATTTTGACTTTGTATGCATTTGTCCTTAAGGCTTGGTCTTGTGCAGCCAGAATTAGTCCCTCGGTCTCTTTCTTCAATTTTCCTGCTCTTAGCCATTGCCAGGTTTTATTATTATCTGCTTTCTCAGCTATTTTTTTCATGTATTGGCCATGTAGTGCTTTGTCTTCCCATGCCTCTATTCTGTTCTTCATTTGGTCTTTCTTGTAGGCCAGTTTGGTCTCTCCAGTAGTTAGTAAGCCTTCCTGATATACTAATTTCAGTGCATCTTCATCATTGTTCTTCAGATATTCTTCCAAAGCCATTTTTTCTTCTTCAACCATCTGATGTACTTGTAGCATTCCACGCCCACCTATTTGCCTTGGTAGATAAAGTCTATCAATGTCACTGCGTGGATGAAGGGCGTGATTCATTGTCATTATTTTTCTGGTCTGCCTATCCATTGCTTTTAGTTCTGCTTGAGTCCAGTCCACTATTCCAGCTGTGTACCTAATGACTGGGATTGCCCAGGTGTTGATTGCCTTTATGGTATTTCTTCCATTGAGTTTGGATTTTAAGATCTTCTTCACTCTCTTGATGTATTCACCTCTAATCTTTTTCTTGACTTCAGTGTGCTTGATGTTGTCAGCTTGAAGGATACCCAAGTATTTGTAGTATTCTTCCTCATCCAGACTCTTAATGTTATTTTCGTGGGGCATCTTGATTCCTTCAGTTTTCACTATTTTTCCTTGTTTGATAGTAAGTGTGGCACATTTGTCCAAGCCAAACTCCATTACAATATCTTGGCTATATATACGGACAGTGTTGAGCAGCGATTCTATTTCAGATGATGTTTTTCCATACAGCTTCAGATCATCCATGTAAAGGAGGTGGGATAGTCTGGCAGATGTTTTTGATGTTTGATAGCCATGTCCTGAGTTATTCAGTATTGTTGACAGAGGAAACAGTGCAATAACAAATAGTAATGGTGATAATGAATCTCCTTGAAATATTCCTCTCTTGATATTAACCTCTCCCAGCTTCTCACCATTGATCTGCAACTGTGTCTTCCATTGTGCCATCGATTTTGCACAAATTTTCTGATGTTTCTACTTACTCCTGTTATTTCTAGGCACTTGATTATCCAATCATGTGGCAGAGAGTCAAATGCCTTTTTGTAGTCAATCCATGCCACATTCAGGTTGGTCTTCCTTATTATTATTATTATTATTATTATTATTATTATTATTATTATTATTCATCGCACAGTCAGCCAGATGTTCAGACTGGATTTGGCATTTTGTCTACCTATCGAGTCCTTACCCAGGACCTGGGATAGGCAGATGTGGATGTTTGATGGTATTACAGATATCGTCGCAGGATGGAAGCAGTTCCTAGTAAGGCCGCCTTTTGCAATTGACTAATAGCGAATTTGTCAATGCCAATGGTGTTCAAGTGGTGCTCCAGTTGTTTTGGGATTGCACCCAAGGAGCCTATGACTATTGGTACTACCCTTGCTTGCTTTTGCCACAGTCTTTCTATTTCTATTTGTAGGTCTTTGTATTTTGTTATCTTCTCCAGTTCTTTCTCTTCTATTCTGCTATCTCCAGGCACTGCCACGTCCACTATCCAGACTTTTTTGTCTTTCTTATCGACAATTGTTAAGTCTGGGGTGTTATGTTGCAGGTGCTTGTCTGTTTGAATTCTGAAGTCCCAGAGCAGTTTAATTTTATCATTTTCTATGACTTTCTCTATTTTATGATCCCACCAGTTTTTGCTTACAGGCAAATGATATTTTTTGCAGATCTTCCAATGCACCATTGTTGCTACTTTGTCATGCCGCTGCTTGTAATCAGTTTGTGCAATCTTCTTGCAACAGCTTACCAAGTGGTCCACTGTTTCTTCAGCTTCTTTGCATAGGCGGCACTTACTGTCTGTTGCTGTCTTCTCAATTTTGACTTTGTATGCATTTGTCCTTAAGGCTTGGTCTTGTGCAGCCAGAATTAGTCCCTCGGTCTCTTTCTTCAATTTTCCTGCTCTTAGCCATTGCCAGGTTTTATTATTATCTGCTTTCCCAGCTATTTTTTTCATGTATTGGCCATGTAGTGCTTTGTCTTCCCATGCCTCTATTCTGTTCTTCATTTGGTCTTTCTTGAAGGCCAGTTTGGTCTCTCCAGTAGTTAGTAAGCCTTCCTGATATACTAATTTCAGTGCATCTTCATCATTGTTCTTCAGATATTCTTCCAAAGCCATTTTTTCTTCTTCAACCATCTGATGTACTTGTAGCATTCCACGCCCACCTATTTGCCTTGGTAGATAAAGTCTATCAATGTCACTGCGTGGATGAAGGGCATGATTCATTGTCATTATTTTTCTGGTCTGCCTATC